CTTGAAGAAAAATATGAGAAAAATATAATTTGTCCCTGTCCCAGTAGTAGTCTGCAAATCTGTTGATTTTTTCCCTACTGTTTTTGAGAAGCATGCTGCTTTGGGCTGGTATTCAAGGTAATTATTATGTAGAATATCATATTCAGATAACATACAGTACTCTGTTTGATTTCATTTTCAGATTTAAATGTGATGGAACAAACAAACAGGTTAACTTTACTTAAATTTTCCAAAATCTTCAACCTTTTAACCCTTTTCTTTCTGTTGTGTTGCTTCATGCAACCTATAAACTGAAGCATATTTATAAAGGTAAGACTGATGGTAAGTTCTGGTAAATGAAAGAAAAAAATATCTCCACCACTGAGTTTCCCTTTGAGACATCTGATGTATGGAAGCAAAAGGGAATACACTTGTCCCAGTAAACTGGCAAGATAGAAAAAGAAAGCATTAATGACCTACATCAAGAAATGAGAATTGATGAATAAGGGTAGAGGTGATCCAAACTGCAAACCTGCTTGACCTGCTTTGAGTCTGAGAAACGTGTCACAAATACTTGCCAGCCTTATATAAGATTCCAGTATGAGATTTTTTTTCTTGCTTGAATAATCTGTCTTCATACTTGCCAGATCATCTATCCTCTAGAAATATCACTATTGCCATATTATATTGACCAGACTTAATTACTTATATTTATTTATTTATCATTAAATTTGTATGCCGCCCATCTCCCCCCAGTGGGTGACTCTGGGCAGCTCACAATTAAAATCATTATAGTTGCTACCTCCCTAAAGATGTAACATTTCTGGAAATTTTGAAGCAATTATTTAAAAATCAAGGGTGCTTTTTTGCCCCCAAATTCCAGAAATGTGGGGGGAAATTGAAATACATGCAATACTGTTGTTAAATAAATGAATGTGTAATGTTGCCAATGTCTATCCCATTCTTGGTACTGTGGATCCTAATGGAAGAAAGGAAGAGGTCCACCAACATCTAGACTGAAAGTCAACAAGAGGGAGCTACCCCGTGAGCGAAAAAAGAACTCAGCCTTTCTTTCTTTTGTCAGTGTCCCCTAACAATGCACTTTGCACCTTTCATTTGGGAGTTGTACCTTATACAATTTACAGCTTGTCCTTCATGTATAAGAAGTATAAGAACCTGTTAGTCTTGACTATTCTATGCTAACAAAATGTCA